AAAAAAAAAAATTAACCCGGGGTAAAAAATTTTTGAAATAAAAGATACTTGATTTTGATTTTTATTGATTTATAAATCGTATTTAACGAAATATCAAACAAATAACAAGGCTGACAAAGTTTTATCACTTTTTTATTCAAGCTTCTTTCTTCTCTCAAAATGTTTCTCTTTCATTTTCCAAATTCCTTTCACCAGCCATAGCAAAGGTTTTACCCTTTTTCACTGACTTAAATTTCAAATCTATGGTGCGTTTCCTATAAACAACGACGATCATCATGATGACGATGATTTTGATGAGGACGATGGTTTTTATAAATTATTGTTATGAAAAAGATGTTTGTTCAGTAAAATAGTAAAGATTTGCCCCGGGGTAAAATACTTGAAAAAATCGCTAAACTACCCCGGGGTGGACACTCTAGTAATAACTTGACAAGAAAAATAGTTACCCGTTTTCTATTTTTAATTTAAACAAAAAATTAATTTCGGTGCCTAAAACTTACTTTTCAATTACTATGGTTAAAATGAAATGTGTGTTACCGCACTAATCGAGTATTATGTACGCACTAATCGAATATTGGTTATAAAAAAATTTAAGCGCACTAAACGAAAACGCATTAATCGAGGGATCCCTGTATAAGTAAAATCCTTTAACTAACAATTGGTGCAAATTATTTTCATGGCAATTGCCTGGCTTCTGTTTCTTGTTTCAACTTTAACTGGCTGCTTGGGTGAAGTCTTTAACCTTGAAGAAGCTTTCCAAACATTGTGCACGGGACAGAGATAGAATGAAATCAAGACCGAGGCCTCTGTGAATAGTCCATTTTTATAGTTGGATAGAAGCATTAGTGCAGTGCCCAAAAAGTAATTTGATTGCATACTTTACTATTAGTTCATTTACAATTTTAACCACCTCAAGACAGCTGTGGAAGTTTCTGTTTTATATGTTTGAATAGGTTACCTTCCTAGAAGTAGAAGCCCATACAGAAATGCCTATATACTAGCTTGAGACTTAATTAAGATCAGCACAATTTTTTGACCTTTCAACGTCTAGTTAACAATAAGATCATGTGGAACTGCATGAAATTTAAAAATATATATATATAAATATAACTGAATAAGTATATATATTATACTAATTATAAAAAGGGTAAATTAGAAGTTGTTACAGCTATGAAAACTGTAACTTATTCAAACTAAAATACTGTTTCGACAGCGGATGTCACACAACGCTGGGAGCATGCGCGCTGGAGTTTCTAGAAGGATCGTGACTTATCGGCAACCTCACGAATGTCCCAGCGTTTGATAGACGCCCTCTTTTTTAGTATATAAGCCGGAGATAGATTGAAGAGAAATAATTGATAATTGAGTTCAAGCGAACAGTAGGCACCGTAAGTAAAGTGTGTGAATCGCTGTGAATTATAGCATATGTTTATAAAAGTAGTTACGTTAAAGTGACTGTGGAAATTCTGTGTATTGCTAAAGTTGTATCGAGAAAGAATAAACTAGTTTTAATCAAGAAGGGACTTGTATCGCTGATGTCAGTCGGAAAGAATTTTTAACGGAAATTATCAAACGAGCAGATATGCAACAAATTAGTGTCAGCGAGTGGGAGGGAAAAAAAAGAAGAAGAAGATGGAAACAAGAAGTGACAAATCAAACTACAGCTTAGCAGATTTGATGGCAGCAATACAAGAACAGCAAAAGAAACAAGAAGAGAGACAACAGCAGTGGCAAGAAAACCTGCAACTGTGGCAGCTCGAACAGCAAAATAAACAAGAGAGATTGCACCAGTTGTTGGAGGATAAAGAAAAGAAACAAAAAGAGAGATTACAGCAGTGGTTGGAGGAGAAAGAAATAAACAAGAAGAGAGACTACAGCAGTGGCAACTGGAACAAGAAATGAAACAGGAAGAAAGTCTCCAACAGTTGCGGGAAAGTCAGCAGCAACTACAGGAAAGTCAACAACTTTGGTGGGTGTTGATGACTAGCTGCCTTCCCTCTAGTCTTTCACTGCTAAATTAGGGATGGCTAGTGCAGACAGCCCTCGTGTAGCTTTGCACGAAATTCAAAACCAACCAACCACTACTTGCATCACTATAAAGCTAAAAATATGAACATTTTCATTCCACAAAAAAAAGGACAAAATTGTGTCATTTGTTGTTTAGAAGTTGTGTGTTGTAACCAGATCGCGATCCAATTGAGTATTTGTTAGACGAACTTGTACATTCGCCATCATAATCATCTGCCAATATTTGTGAACCAAATGCAGATCATATACTCATTGACTAATGGGGTATAGTCGAACAAGATACATTCCGCCGTCTAGTGGAGTCTAAGTCCAAGCTCAGAAAGAAGATTCAGACAACAGTTTTGCTTGTTTTTTAAAGCAAAGCCACATTGGGCTATCTTCTGTGTGTACCGTGGGGAATCGAACCTTGTATTTGAGTATTTTAATTCCATAGACTTACCATTATTCCGCAGAAAGACAGACAGTTGTTAATCAGCGTTCTAATTAAATGGAAAGTTCAAATTGTGTATATTATTGTGCACATCACATATGGTGTTCAAGACTGTGTAATGTGATTAGTTTCCAGCAGTGGTGATGACTAGCTGCCTTCCCTCTAGTCTTTCACTCTAAATTAGGATGACTATTGCAGATAGTCCTTGTGTAGCTTTGCATGAAATTCAAAACAAATAAACATTTGGTAACTTATACCAATGGACATAAACTTATATTCTTAACAATAAATCAATGGATGAACTAGTTACATAAGACTTTTTTCATCATTGCACTTGGACAGGATCT